TTGTCTTCCTTCCACGATCAATTGCTTCTGGCCTCAACCAGGGGTCAGAACATTTTTGAGACGGAAGAGCCCATCCTGTCCCTCACAACAATTTAAAAATTATCCGAGAGCCATGGTACACTTTTACAAAAAAATGAAATCACGAATAGCTGAATGATATCCTTTAACATTTTTCCATTTTCTTCAGAGACACATATGGCTCGAAAGTCACAGTTTTGCTGGCCCCTGGCCTAGGCAGTCCATGAGGTGCTCAGAAGCCGCTAAGTTCTGAGTTCAGGACAAAGGGTCAAATTTCAAACTGGGTCCAGTTCACCACCTCATGCCCATAGATGGGGCTCCCTCTGGTCATCTATGACTGCAAAATTCTCCCTCCATCCTCCGCCCTCACCCCCACCCCCTACCCCCCGCTGCTCTGATTTCCAATCCACAAATGATCTTAGGAGGCAGGGGGTAAGATAAATGCCACTTCCCAGAAGTTCTAGGAACCTAACCTAATAAAAAAACTTATTAAAAACTGCAAAAAGCTATGGGGACATGAAAGAGAGCAAGTTGTCTAACGGGGACGAGAAAGAGCGAGTTCTGGATACTTCCTGGTTAGCGGTGTCCATGTAAAAGTTTTAGTTCCATATGTTGATTTTCCCTCCTTCCCTGTTTCATGGTTTTGAAAATGAAAAACTACATCTTCGTTTTCAACAAGCAGCTTTCCATTTCCGTCCCCTCCTCTTCCCTCTACCCAGCAAGATCTTACTGGGCTCGCAGGAATGTTTCCCCTGCTACAGAACGGCATCCTGAAGGTGAGCTTATTCAGACTCAGCAGAGCTTGCCCTTCGTCAAGACCTTCTTGAGGTGACTCATGAGTGTTGCTTTGGTTGTTTTAATGACATAAATGGAACAACCTACTGCCCACATGCTCTTCAGTGCCCTTGAATTTGGTTACAGGTGACCTGTTGACAGTGATAGATATTGGTGGGGTTTTGCTTTTTTCTCTTTTTCAGAATTTGGTAAGGTGCAAGAAAAATGCTGGAAACAGCAAGTTCAAAACCGGATGACCATAATGAAAGTGACAAACTGATGAAAGCAAATGCCCAAACCAGCCACCCTTCTGGCCACCCCAGGCTACGGACTTGGGGGCTCCCTGACCCTGCCATTAGTTTGTTCTGTCCGGTTGCACATAAAGCACAAGTCACGCTCGGCGATAGGGCTCTGGTTAAAGATTTAAGGACGGTTCCACTGTACGCTCAGCAACTTGTTCAGAGCGAGGCAGGCCTTTGCACACTCCTTCCTTGAAGTGGGCCTCCTTTGCGCAAAGGTCTGGCCATTTCTGTCATCAGAGCCAGTCTGTGATTGAATGGGCAGCAATCCAGAGAGAATTAACGCAAGAAGAGTGCACACCCAGCCAGAAAAATAGACCATGTTTAAGGAAGAAATCCCCGTAGCATTAGAGGCAGGGGTTCTGTGTCTTTGGGAGAAGGAGCGCTCAGAATCAAAAGTAACAGCCACCAACTGGCTCTCTGGCAGAAAGGGGAAAAATGACTAATTCAGCCGACTCTCCTCTGCTGAGGTGAAAAAAGTCAGGGCTTGGCTTTTGTGCCCCCAGAATTCTAAACTCTTGCAAAAACAAACAAACAAACAAAACTAAATTTTCCATACATTCCATTCTCACAAAATTGTATTATTTTAAATGAACCAAAAATTGTTATTCAATAATTTCATAAAATTAAATTAAAAATCACTCTCTTTCTTTGTTTAATCAGTAAAGACACTTATATGGCTAGTACTTGCTAGTAGCCTTGACTGGAACCTTTAGAAAAAACCTTCACAAATAACACAGGAGAAGCTTCGCTTGTCCTTCCAGCTGTTTTCCTCCTGTGCGATCGTTAACTCTAACTCGTTTTTCCCTCCCGGAAGACTGGCGGGGATTTACAACTGAGGGAAAGTCTTGTCTCCCTAACTCAAACCTTCAGAAAAGGCAGAATCAGAAATGGTGTTTTTGGCTAACATTTAACAATCAACTTCTGGTAACACCCTTTGTTATTTAAGGGGGGGAAAAAGAATCAAAGAATCTTCCAATTCAACTTGATTCCCTAGTATCTATTTTCCAAAGATTCACTCGCAATTGCTTTTCAGAAAACCTTGTTCCCCAAAGGAACGGCAATACTGGGTTATGCAGAACTGCCTTGCTGAGACTCTCCCGTCTAGAATTAATTTATTTTTCTCAGCTGTGCCTTCAGATCCTTCCAAAGGATTGCTAAACTCTCCTCCTTCTGGCTGCCCAGAATTATTTCCTATCAAGGTAATTTCTGAATACTCTATGAGAGAGAACAGGCAGACCAAAAAATGACCCATTTTCTAGAAAATTCCTGCTTTAGGACAGTGTTTCAGCAATGACCATAAAACAATAGGTGGCGTTCAGTTCATGATGAGTGCCTAGCTGTCCAGTGAGAAGTGTCCCCTGACACACACACACACACACACACACACACACACGCCCCAGCTATAGTCCCTTCCCTCCTAAACCCTGGGGTGGGGCCGGCCATGGTAAGTGAGAAGCCATTTGTGGAGTCAGGGGTTGCCTCTGAGGTCTTAAGAAAGCCTAAGAAAACCCTTGAGCCATCACATCTGACAAATATTTGAAGAGGGTTCATTTGAGTAAATACTTGAGCCTGTCCTCCTTCACTATCTCCACCCTAGAGCCTTATCGCTCACCCTCAAAGAATTCATCAATATTCAACTGGCTCTCTAATTTGCTGAGGTAGCCAAAGGAGTTTAATAAAGAAAATGGTTGCAGTTTTTTTCTTGAGCATGTTTCTTTGCAAGGAGCTGAAATGCTTACAAGTGTGCAAGGAGAGCCGCCCAAGCAAATGCACCCAGGAAGAGGAGCCTGAGAGCCTTTGACCCCAAGGACAGGGGGAGGGGGGGACTTTACAAATGCTCCAGCTGGGGATTTAGCAGCTTGTTCAGTCATGTCTGCCAGCCCTGCAAACGTTCCACCCTGTGGCGGCAGGGTTTTTTGAAGACGTTCCTGGGTAAAAGGTAGAAAAACTTGATCCGTAAAATGTTTGGGCTGAACTTTTCAAAGCAGTTGGAAAAAATGGAGACTCTGTGCTCTCTTCCTACCCACCCGACCAAATATATATATATATATCCCCCTCAAAAACCCCAAAGAACCGCAGACACCAGCAAAAGGCCGCACACCACTTGTGAAGTCTTGGTTGGGACTGCGAACTGCGCCCGCTGAAGCAATCCCATTTAAGATTGTCCATCAGATTCACAGAAATATCAGATGCGCTGGGGTTCTGTGGAAAAGGAAATCAGAACACCCAGCCCCGCAGAACCTCTGGTTTTATTTTTGTACATTGATACACGCGCCTATGTGTGTGTACGGTTTTCTTTCATCAGTTAATTTGTTTTTTTCCGGCAGCCCCCGGCAGCCCTGGACCCTCCAGAGCTCAGGACTGCAATTTCCTGGGCCTCGCTGGGGGTCTTCGAGGTCCTTGGGCGATGGATTCTGGGCTTCCCCTGTGGGGAGGGCGCTCCAGGCGCGACCCAGGGAAGCCAGCTGGGGCGCTGAATGCAGGGGCCCGGGGTACCTGGCCCCTCTCCCCGAAGTCCCCAACCCCCAGACAGCCCAAGCCCTGTGCAGTGTCCTCCTGGTCTCCATCCCAGGCGGCGGCCAAAGGGCCCCCGCTGCCCACTGCTTTTCCGCCAGGCTGCCAGCAGATTTGTCCCACCCAGGCCAAGCATAGCACCAGAAGCTGCGTGCATGGCCCTGGATCGTGGTCAGCGCTATCCTAGAAGGGGTTTCTCCCCACAGCTCCTCTGGAGTATTCTGCCAGGGGACAGGATGATAGAGCAGACTGCTGCCCCCCCAACCCAGACACAACAGCTGTTAGCAAAACTGAGGCCCCTGGGCTTTGCCGCGCGCTTGAAGGTGCAACCCGCTGGCCCAAGAGACAAATGTGGCCCGCGTGCCTTTCGCCCTCTGAAAGTCCGCAGTACTGCCCTGGAACCCAGAGGGCGGCCCTCTCTCAGTTGCAGCGCCCCTCCACCACGACCACCACCACCACCTAGTACTCAGAATAAAAAAGGAGTTCCCTCCTGTGGTGTGCCCAATTGAGACTTAAAACCTGATCGCCCAGGTCTGGGCACACTGTTAGACAGCTGACCCCTCCCTCCATACTATGCCTCCACCCAAGGGAACAGAGGAGACAGTAGGGGGTCCCTGGTGCCAGCAGCGTGGACAGAAGCGTTTGGCTGGGTGGGGGTCGAGGCAGGAGGGCTGGGGAGGACAGGGGTCCCTGTAGATCGGTCCTCAAGTGTGTGCTGAGCTCACTACACGCACGAAGCCCGAGAAACCCCCGCCCCCGCCCCCAAACCCTTTCTTCCCAAACTGTTCTGCGTGGACCCCGGCAGCGCAGCGCTGGGATCTCTGCTCAGTCCCCTGGCGCCCCCCCTGGAAATCCTGCGAGGACCCCCAGCTGAAGGGCCAGCGCCCTGTGCCCTGGCCACACTCCAGACTTCGTTCTCATAGCCCCCTCCCCGCCCCCGCTGAGGGGCTGGGCGCTGGCTCTCCAGGGAGCCCGAGCCATCAGCGCGCACGGCTGGGGCGTCGAGCGCTGCGCTTCCCCCGCCGCCTATCCTCGCTTCCACCCCCACTCCCGCCCCCGGAGCTGAGCAGGAGGAGGGGAGGGGGAGGGGAGCCGCGAGGCCCCGCCCCCGGAGCCGGCTTTTTCTAGGGCCGCCCGGGGAGGCCGGCACCCGCCGCCCAGCGAGCTCCCCCAGCGGAACTTCAGCCGACGACCCGCCGCCACCCGAGCTCCGGCCGCAGCCCGGGACAACCAGCCTCGGCTCCTGCCCGCCGCTCCTGCCGGCGGACCTCCGCGCCCGCTGTGCCGGCCCCTGGGCCCCCGCGCAGTCCCCGCCGTCCCGCGCCCGCTCCCCGCGCCGCCCCTCTCCCGTTTCCTTCCTCCCGCTCGCGGGCTGGCTCCCTCGCCAGCTCCGGAGCAGACGCGGCGCCTCAGCCTCGCAGGACAATCCCAGAAAGCTTTGCAAAAAGCTGACAATGACATTTCAGAAGTTCCTCGATTTCGGCGCCATTTTCGAGTGGAGCGAGAGGTGACATGAGTTTTCTGTTTGTTTGTTTGTTTGTTTGTTTGTTTGTTTTCAAAGGACTTAGCTGGCGTTGGCCCCGATTGTAACGCAGGCGTCCACAGGCTGAGAAAGAGCTGGTGAGCATTAGGGGACCATTCCGCGCGGCTTTGGGGGGCCGGGCTGGGGCCAAAAGGGATCTTGAAAGTGTTTGGGTCAGGAGGGTGGCTGAGAAAATTCTCTCGGGACGGGCTGCAAAGATAGGACTTGGGGGCGGGGGAGAGGCAACTGAGGGCCAGTCAGCGGGGTGGGGTGGGGGGACCTCCTCCGCGAACAGAGTGGAACGGACTCGTCGCGGCTCTTAATTGCGAACAGTCAACTACTTCCCTTAAAGAAATGTGTGCTTAATTTTGTTGTGTCTTCTCCGAGTAAAAATGTTCAAGGTTGTTTCGTTTTTCCCTGTAGAAAACCGGCCGTTGGACGAGTTTGACACGGAGGGGCCAAGGGAAGGTACTGGGCACTTTTGGGGAGTGTGGGGGGTGGGGGAGAGGGAAGCTGACCCCCGCGAAATCCAAAGACAAAACTTTGTAAAGTAAGGACTAAGGACTGGGCGTATTCTTTGGCTCTAATATGATTTGACCAAGCACCACAGTACAGTTCAGAAGGAGGGTGGGGCCCTGCCTATTGTATCAGCGAATGAACCCCACCCCCACCCCCCAGTGACCAGACCACTCTTTGTCATCTCATTTCGTAAGTAAGTTTCCGTCTACAGGGAAATCTATGAACCAGGGAACCGAGGTTGCCTTTTCGGGCTGCAAGTCGTTATACTCTCAACCGGGTTGGCCAAGCAATCTGGACGGGAACTTGGCCTCTGACACCAATACCATTAGAAGTAAACTTGTGTTTTTCGAGTACTTAAAGAACTGGTAAATTCGGGGTGACTCTCACTTCGGGTGTGGCACCGCCCATACTTGTGTTAAGCAACGCATTTGCTTGGTAGAAAGTTCGGGATTTTAAAAGTACAAATTGCAAATTTACTAAACATGTCTCTCTTTTTTTCTTTTTAAGGCCAACCAACGGCGTTTGCTCCATTAATTCCTAATGCCGATGCAAAGATTGCTTATAAATAGTATAGCGAAAACAAAAGGAAATGTAGATGCTTAATTGACTCCCCCAATTTAGGGAGTGAGGTTATTTTTATTCTTGACTATGTGCACTGTGTCAGTGTTTTAATACTACTCAGCCTGTGGCATTTTGAATTTTTAAAATAAAAATTTCATCTCATTATATGCTCCCAAACATTTCATTAGCTAATAAATAGGACACTTAACATTCTTGGTACTTCTTTTTAAAAAACGGACCTAACTTTTCAATAGAAGGGACCCCTTGGCAGACTCATTAGCTGCTAGGATTCCTCAATGGCTTGTGTTGAAACTGCTTTTAACTTTCAAACCCCCTAGAGACCCGTGCTGGTGGGGTCTTGAGCAGTCTTTAGGGTACATTGTTTGCTACTTAGGAGACTCCTTTGTTTAAACAATAGGTATGGGGAGAGTGCCTATCTCTTCCTGTTGCTGCGTGGCCATTTTCCCAAGGACAAAGTGGTAAGGAATGAGTTAATCAGTAAGGAGTAGGCGCAGTGCCGGCCACGTCAGGAACAGATCTCTGGAGGGGCTTGAGACAGGAAAGAGTGATTTGACATCAAGTGTTTACACTTTGGGAGTTAGGTTGCGATAGGCACAGATTATTTAGAATTAAGCGGGAGCAAGCAGTCTCAAAAACAAACATCCAGATATTTGATCGACAGAAAGTTCTCTCGCAGCCCTCCGTACCTTTAAAAATAACTCGGGGCAGTCTGTTGGCTGGAAGAATGGCGGGGGCAGGCAGGTCCTGCGTAGCAGCCGGAAAACGATCCAGTAAGGCTTTATGACTGTCACAGGAGTGATCCAGATGTTGCCCAAATGCTTCCATGTACTTGACCTTCTTATTTGTTGCTCTCAGGTAAGATTCGTTGCCACCCTGGTTGCCATGTCCCACCATCCCCTTAGTCTCCACGACACTTTGGGGAGTGGGGTGGCCATTGAGGGCTACAGCTTACTCAGCCTTGCAGAGCCGGGCAATCAAACAAACGGGGACAATAGGAAAAGCGCATCAATTTGGACAGCAACTCCTATAAAACGCTATCATCTTGGCCACGGAGGGGGTGGGGCGGGGCGAGACTGGACTGCCTACCCATGACCTTGTGTCTCTCTACCCACAGGGATGTCTTTGGGAGTCACCCCCTCCCTTCGTGGACCCCGGGGGGATGCAGCAGCAATTCATGTTTTGGAGTGTTGTACAAAGTTCAAAACGTGAAGCGCTGCTACACCCCCTCGCGGGAAAAGTAGGAGGAGGGGTGTGTGTCTGCGAGCCTGAGCAGGTAGGTGGACTGGGGCGCCGCGCTGCGTCTTCGAGGAAAGGTGACCTCTGGCAGGCCCGCTCTCAGCCGTGCCCTAGCAGCGGGAACAGTACTGCAGTGAATACTAGTCTGGAGTATTGTTGCTGCTGCCCTGGCAAGGCCGGGACTTCGCACGGGCAGCTCGCCAGCCAAGGCCCAGCCCGGAGGCTAAAGATTCGCCCCCCCCTGCCACTACCACCACCTTCCCCTCCCAGGTCAAATGGAAATGAGTGGGGGATGGGGGATACCCTTCCAGATCACTTAGCATCCGCAGGACCCACAGGAATAAGGCTTATAGTCAATCCCCAATGACTCAAAGGGGCTGGAAAAAGGAGGGAGGGGTGGAGGGAAAGGGGACAGGCTGAATCCAGGAAAGGTGAACTTTTCCTGTCCCTCCCCACCCCAGCCCTGCAGTCTCGGGGGCACTTCCCAGAGGGAGACAGATAAGGAAAGTAAGGCACCGGAGCCCTAGGTGGGCACTGACACCCCTAGCAGTGGGAGGGTCCTCTCAAGAACGGCCTTTTTGGTGTGATCTCGCACCACCGCCAAGTGAGGGACAACTGGCACAGAAGAAGGATGTGGGGTCCTTCCCTCCTTTTTTGTCACCTATAACAACACACTTTTTCTGAATGGGGAACCCTGGTGGTTTAGTGGGTGACACGTGGGGCTGGTGGCTACTCTGCGGCCAAGCGGTGATTTCTAGGGATTTACAGCAGCAGAAACCCTGAAAAACAGTTCTACTCTGCCCTTAGGAGTCCCGATAAACTCCTGGGCAGTGGGCTTAGATTTTGCTTCTGCAGGGCTTTCAGGGCCTCGCCCCCACGCCCTTACTACACAAGTCCTTCCCAATGGCTACCAGTCTTCCCAAGCCCCTCCCAGCACCTGCCTCCTGCGGGGCCACAGAACCAGACTGGACCCAAGGGCAAGGGGGCGGGCGGGGCGGGGCATTGCTGGCAGAAGTGACATCCGCCCAGCGCACGGACTGGAGGCATGGAGATGGCGCTCTGCGGGAACCCTCTGCCGACTGACAGCCATCCCCTCACCTTTCCCTCCATCCCCCTGAAGCTGCTGAATAAAGCAATATTTGCTGTGTTCATTAACAAAATGACTCTTGGTTCCAGACCTTATAAAGTCTCTTGAACTAACTCGCTCAGGTAGTCTTCAAATCGCCTCCCCCCCTCCCACCCCGCCCCTCAGCAATTGTGAAAGGTCGTCACCGCCATATTTCAGACTTGGAGCACATGCGTGAATTTGTGGTCAGCTGCTTGATGGATCCTTAGAGGCACCTTTGCAAGGTCCCCAACACGTGTGGTGCATTGGCGGGGAAGCGGTGTGCTGGCAGCACTGCGGGAAGTTTATTTCGCTGCCACGGCCCCGGAGGCTGGGAACAACGGACACGCTGACTCTGTGTCCCCCACGCGCCTCACATTCCTACATATGAGCTAGGTATAACATCAAATCCAACAGAATTTATTTTTATTTTAATCCTATGGAATTTGTTGTAAGGCTTCCATTTTCTCCACTTAATGCTGGTTCGTGTCTTCAACAAAGGAGCGCACAACAGGGACACTTGGGGAGCTCGCC